TAGGATAAGGGTATGGTTATAGTTAGGCTAAGGTTAGGGTTAGGGTTACAAATAAGATTAACATTGGATTCCTAACCCCTTTTAATAAAGCATTGATGATACTTTACGCCCTTTTAATAAAGCATTGATGATCCTATTGCGTAAAATAATGATTCCTAACATGTTTGAAACATAAGATTGATGACACTTCTATGTAAAGAAATGATTTCTAACACGTTCGAGACATTGCATTGATGACACCATGTGTAAAAGAAGATAGGTTGTTGTGTACTTCAGAAATGGCAAAGCACTGATATGATGAAAGTGAGAGAGAGAAAAGAAAGATAAAAAGTAGAGAGACTTTTTGCGTAGACTTGGTAAGTCATCGTGGAACCCACACGGAGATGTATTATTGCAACAAAAGTTGCACGTTTCTCACGTTGAAATTTAATGCAATCAACCACTAATTGAAACAAAAGTTACACTGCACCCACACTTTAAAGTAGCAAGAATCCTAGGCTGCTGAAATAAATTTGGATGAATTTATTGTTTGATTCAATTAAATTTAATGAGTTAAATTAAATTGAGTTTATATTTTTTTAAAAAATTTAACCTAACTTAATTTTATCATAAATGAATTGGGTTGAATTAAATTAATGTAATTAAATTTATTTATTTTTTAAATTTAAAATATTTTTATTTAAATATAAATTATTTAATGTTTTATTATAAATATAATTTAATTAATTTATAAAATAAATAATGATACAAACTAAATTTTAAATAAGTTTATTGATTTATGACCTTAATACTAATTTAACCAACCAACATTATTTTAAAATAATATATTATATTATTATCATTTTATTAATTTAAAATATAAAATTTACAATTAAATAAGAATGATAATATATATTATATCAAATGATCATTTAAATATTAATATATTATTATATATAATCAAATCTGATCAAAACATTCATTTTTACGAGTTAAAAATACAAATTTTATTTTGAATAGTTCAGGTTCGATTTGAGTTGAATACTTAAAAAATTTAATCTAAAACTGGTTGAATCAATTTAAGGTTTGAGTCGGTTCCAGTGTGCATCTATAGTTACCCACTTAGACTTCTAATGTGGGCTTATGTTAATACACAACCTACTATTGCTCTGAAAGTGTTTTCTAAAGTTTACAGAAGTAATTATGCAATGCTTTTTAGAAGTACATAGTAGTTGTTTTCTACATTTTCACCATTCTTTTATGTTATTGTTATTATTTATTTTTTTAACCAAAATCAAGTATCAGTTGTGCTTTCATTACTGTATAAATTATATTTTATTGTTAATAATGACTTGGAGTATATCCATCACCTTTTTTTCAATACAGTCCATATTGTTTTCATCATTATTAGATCAGTATTAGGACTTACGAAGAATATTTGGACTAAAAAAATGTGTCTTGAACTCTTGATGAAACTATTTTGTAAACTTATAAACTATTATTAACGAGATATTTATCACATGATGCCCCATCTATAAAAAAAAAATAGATATGATATATTTTAGAGAAATTAAAATTAATAAAAATATAATTTATAAAATTATATAATAAAATGACTGTAAAATATTTATTATGTATTTATGAATTAAGAAAATTGTGAAAATTACTCAAATAAACGTTGTTATATGGTGTCAAATTTATAAAATATGATTATAACCTTAATAATTAATAATATAATTTAAATAAAGAAAAGTTTCAATTGGAACCTTTGTCAAAAACAAAAAGTTTTGACTAAAATGTGTTATAAAAATATTTTATGATCAAACAGATCAAACTTTAAAATTCAATCACCCTAATTTGTTTTCAGATTTTGAAAAAATTAATATTCAATTTTAAATTGTTGTATTATTTTTTTAAAAAACAAAGAAAGTGAAGTAGGTTGAGTTTTAGAATAATAAGTTTAGTTAATATGATAAGGTAATAAATTATTTAAATATATATCGAATTGACTGTTATATGTATATTATATTTAAGATAAAATAATGATGTTGATTAACATTTGAAAATTAGTTATTATTATATATAATTATATATTGATCATTATTTAAGAAATTTGTTTAATATTAAAAAAATTAAATAATAAATAATTTCATTATATTATTAGCAAAAGATTTGTGTAATTAAATTGTCTTATTCTTAAGTCAATTCATATTTATGTATCCCAAATTTGATTGCGTCAATGTTTCTCACATGATTCTCTTTTCCTTACAAAATGGACTGTCAAATTTCAAATTATGTATAAGAAAAGATATCTAAGAGTGAAAAGTAGAAAAGAAAAAGTATCACTTTAGATTTCCTACGATGATTCCAATGTGAAATGGGTATAGGAATTTATCTAACCCAAAAAAATCTCAAAAAACATAATTTCAATGCTATATATGATATCAGAAGATTTGAGTAATCATTCTATCGTACTCTTTAGTCAATTCATTTTTATGTTTTCTAAATTTGATTGTTTTAGCAATTCTCATCCCTTGATTCTCCTTCCCTTGCAAATGGATTATCCAATCTTAAATTATGCACAAGGAAAAAATTAAGAGTAAAAAAAAGAAGAAAAAATATCACCCTTCATTCCCTATGATGGTTGTAGTTGGAAATGACAATACCACTTTCAATTTCTTATAATGGTTGCAATGTGAAACTTGTATTGAATAATATGAGGATAAATGATTGAATAAGTTATTTTAAATTTAAATTTAGAATGAAAGATAGATTGAGTAGAATAATTTATAAAAAAGAGATGTAATTAATAAAACATTGCATAGAAATTGACAAAAAAAATCACTAATGTGACAATAAATAATATATTGATGTGGCAACATGTTATTTCACAGCTCAAAATTTATATTATAAATAGATGGAATTAAAATGATATGGATGAATAAGCTCAAAATTTATATTATAAATAGATAGAATTAAAATGATATGGATGAATAAGTTGAAATGCATGAAGTTTTATTTCCTTGGACGACGCAAAACATTTGTCTCTTTTATATCTAAGTGCAAGCTTCAACCTTGTGGAAAGTGGAAAAGCCAAAAGGGTGTTGGGTTTTGGACTCTCCTCCTCTATGGAGAATAGGCTCAATTTGTGTAAGTCTATTATATCTCACTTAACCAAGTGAAGAGGAGTCAAATTAAGATAGAGTAAGAGTAACTTAATTTGAGAAAACAACAGCAAAATATAGAGAGAAGAGATGAGAGAAAATTACAGATTGCATATCTACCGGATAACATTTGTTGAATTACAATTGGAGATTCATTTATTGTTGGATCAGATTGATTTTTGGATAGTAGGTTCATAAGACGCGACATTTTATATTCAATAGTTGGATCATTAAAAAGAAGTCTGGAGTGAGAGAAAAGCATCTCACAAAAAAGCGTCTTGCAGTAATAGCTTTCTTTTGGGACGTGTGTGGCTTGTGTGATGAGATTCTGTTATATGGAAAATTTGAGGGGAAGAGAGAGTTTATTGTGTAGAATCAAATTGTTATCAAAGTAGAAAGGTTGAAGAATCTGAATAATACTTAGCAAGGGGTGGCTTGGCAATTTAGCTTTCCTATGGTTCAACTTATAGTTTAAATCTTAAAGTTTTCTTCTTAGAATCAAAGAATTTTGAACATATATTTTTTTATCAAAATCATATAAGGAGACAATGTCTGCTCTTGTATTTGTTTCTAATTTATGGTATGTGTTATTCACAGTTTTATTAAACATGCAAATCCATTAGGCTAAGCCAAATCTTGTGGAGTGACATTTGCATTATTCACAGCATAAGTCTTATAAGATTATGTATTGATCATATGTAAAATCTATCTCAGGCTTTCTACTTTTTCAATAACTTTGCCAAAATGTAAAGTTGGAGCTGATGAAATATGAATCATGCCCCCACATGCCCAAACAAAGAATACATATATATTTTGTTGCTTATTGAGACATGGAGAAATAGTTGAGCTAAACAATAAGAATTAACAAACTAAGAAGATAGAAATGATTGGCAAGAACGCTTAATGATAATCAAAATAAAGTGCTACACACCCAGAAGAAAAGGAGTGTGCCCTTAGACAGGTACAGAATCAACTAACAATAGTTTATGGTTCAACTTCTTTTTGCAAAGACATTAGCTTGGATGTCAGACAACATTATTCATGATAGTTTACTAATTGTTATCTATAAATTATATTTTTAAATATAAAATTATTAAATCTTTATTTATAATTTATAATCCATTGTTTTCTAACTCCAAGAGTGTGGTTCAGCGGTTGATCTCTTAAGTAAGGTTAGTGATTCGAATCTTGTCTTGTGTATGCAGCTGCGTTAAATTTTGGAGCCAACTATCCTACTCTTTGAGGTGCCTCCAACTTAGCGAAGAGATTAGTCATCCTTGAATATTCCAGGAACGAACTAAAAAAAATAATCTATTGTTTTCTATACATGTATATATATATATACACACTAGTTTAATATATATAAGTATTTAAATAAAAAAAATAGAACGAGAATAATAATAAGTCAAAATAAATATTAAAATTTAAACACAAATACACATTAAATAAAGAATATAACAATTTATGTAACAATATCTCGATCCTCGATTTTAGAAGAAAAAAATATTTATTTGTTCTAAATTTACAATTTGATTGGTTATACAAATCTCCTTAATTAATTAAATAATTTAATTAACAAATTATTGTTATTATCGTCTTAGGTGTAAATCTTACAACTGATAGCTTTTGTCTTCTCATATAAAATGGTTATAAAAATGAACAAAGATATCGCATTTCATAATCTGTAATTAAATATTAATGTAAAGAATCTCAGTGTGTATATATATATAGTATTTTCTGATAAATAAAAAAGTAATGATAATAATTTCATAAAAATAAAGAAAAAATGTGCGTTAAAAAAGAAAAAAAGAAATGTAACGAATGAAGAAGAATGATAGGAGAAGAAGATACGGAGTGTGCAGAAGAATATAAATATAAAGGGCGAAAGAAAGTGAAAGTAGTGTGTTTTGTAGGTTGCTTCATTTCTCCGCTCGCTCACGACCTTTGGATTGCTCTTGTTGACGAGTGATGGAGGGTGATTGGAGTTCCCAAAGCAACTGGACCATTGCCTCCGGCTCAGTCCGCGACTGCATCACCTTCCATTCCTCTCTCTCTTTCTCCGACCACCACGCAACCCAATCCACTCCCACTCCTCTCCTTCTCCATCCTCCTTCGCCGCATCATTCCCCTCCCTGCCAGATCAAGAGTAACTTCTCTTCTTTTCTCACTCTTTTTTTTTCTTCTTTTTCTTTCTGATTATCAATTATGCTGCGCAGTTACTTTTCCGGAGAAACACGAGCTCAGACAAATCTACGTCCGTAGCACGGCGCGTGTCTACGAGATTTACTATGCTCCTGACTCTCGTTCTAACGACGACTATCTCTGCACAGTTCGATGCGGCGTTGCTGTTAGAGACGACGTCGTTCTTTCTTCTCCTTCTGTTCCACATCTGACCGACGATAGTGTTAAAATGGAAGATGATTGGGTTGAAGTCAAAGTTCCTGATGTTGCAAAACACTCCGCCAAAACCTCTCAGGTGTTTATTCTGTTGCGGCTTTTTTTATTATTCTTCGTAATTAAATTATTGCCCAATTTTGTTTGATTTATTTTAGATTAGTATGCAGAAAGTAGACAATGAAAAGTTACCTGTGGTCTACGGACTCGAACTTGGTTTGCTAATCTAAACTACTGATGGAGGATACATGTGATCTATAAAAAAAATAAAGGAAGTAAACAATGGATATTCTCTATAAAGATCGAAGGATTTAGTAAAGGAGAACTTGCATAATGTTCTTCCATGCCTCTAAAATATAATTTAGCAGGTAACCCTCTTCTGCAATTGCAATTGAGGGTCCGTTTGAATAAATTTTTTCCATAAACACTTGTATGATAAGAAAATATAAAAGGAAAATGAAATAAAATTCTCTATAAATTTAAAATTAATTTATATGTAAATTAGTTTTAGCATATAGAGAAGTTAATTCCATTTTTTCTTTCTGTTTTCTTCTCCTATAAGTGATTCTAGAGAAATTTATCCAGAGACCTTGAATAAACTTGATTGTAGTTTATGCGTGCCAGATAATCCTCTAGGTAGGCCTACGCTGGCTTTCCCAACATGCTATTGGGCTTGGCGTCCTGGTTGAGCTAATCTTGGTGATCTCAACATGTCATTGGCAGTCCCTCTAGACACAGATTTATACATGCTGTATTTTTTGTAACCTGAAGTGGCTTCAGGAACAATTTTTTCTTTTTGCTCTCTAAATTGTTATCACTGGCTAGGTTTGAATCCCTGCTGTTGACTTTTAAACTTCATGAGATATTCCTGGATGAATATGATAGCATGGTGTTTGAAATGTTATTTTATCATTTAAAATCATAAATTTGATAGTAGGTTATTCAAAATTAGCTATAGGTGTTTTCGAGAGCCAGGAAAATTTCTTTGGTAGGAATGTTGATGAATGATTGTTTTTTATCACAATGAACTAAAAAGTAACACATTTCGTTTCTTAGGAAATGGGAATGAAGTTTTTAAAATTAAAGGTTATGAATAAAAGTACGAAAGCATACCTCAAATAATATATTCTTTTCCTAACTTCTAGATTCTCATGTGCCACATTAGATGATGGTATCATTTGAATGTTAGTTTGATTTTCTGATTTCAGTGTCCTCTTTTCCTGTGTCCAGGATCTTTATGAGGCTACGGCAGAGATTGATGATGCAAATCCTTGCATTTCTGTTACACTTCGTTTGCTCTCGCTTCAGAATAAAGGCTGTGTTTATGTTGATGAGATTTATGTGTTTGCGGATCCTGTTGATTCAGCTGATACAGAAAGCCAGGAAAGCCATAATGAAAACACATCTGGCAGTTCCCTCATGGCTATGTTTCTGCCCACTCTAATGCAATTATCCAAGACAAAAGGGCTCAGCAATCTAAATGCTCTAAGAAAGGAAAATCAACATGTTTTGGGGAATGATTTGGAAGCAACTCATCCAAGTGATTCTGTAATTAAAACTCAGCTAAAAGGAGAAGCTACCATAACTGATCCTCAAGAAGTGAAGTTGAATGAGGTGCAAGGTGGTTGGATGGGTCCACACCCGCTAGATACATTCTCACAACTTGCTAAAATGGAGGGAAACCATACTTCAGTACCCTCACAAACTACTAAAATCAACAACACTCACAGTTTCATACCCTCAAAAATTGCTGAAAAGGAGAACGACCACAGTGCCATTCCCTTTCAAAGTGCTAAAACAGAGTGCAATATTAATTCTGTCCCCATGCAAGTGGCTATTTCTGAGAGCAATCCTGGTGATTCTTTGGGTGGTAATGTTGAAAGGGTCCTGGAACAGCTTGTATCACGCATGGACAGGATAGAAGAAATCTGTTTGGGCTTTCAAGAGAAAATGGTGCTGCCCATGAACAGCATTGAGGCAAGACTCCAGCGAGTTGAGCAGCAACTGGATACACTGACTAAGAAATCACAGAATTCGACATTGCCATCATGTTCTAGAATTTTCGCTCCTGATGCTTCTTGTAGTGATTCAGATGCCATCTCCTGTGACAATTGTCCTGATTATGCTGCCACTAAGGAAAGTGAATCAGATGAGAAACATTTACACACAGAGGTAAGATATGTCTCTGCTCATATATCTGATTCAGCAAATACTACTCAATTGCTCCCAGGTCTTGTAGTTACAGCTCCCGAGTTTCCTGATGGTGAGGATGAGGAAGTTGATGCATCGGGACTAGAAACAGATGTGGATGAAAAAGTTGATGCATCAGGACTAGAAGCAGACAAGGATGAAGAAGTTGATGCATCAGGACTAGAAGCAGACAAGGATGAAGAAGTTGATGCATCAGGGCTAGAAGCAGATGAGGATGAAGAAGTTGATGCATCAGGACCAGAAACAGATTCTTCAAAAAATAAAGCAAAGCAGTCAATTGATGATGCTTTATCTTCTGCTTTAGCTAATTTTTTGTCTTCCACGCCTTTAAATTCTCCAAAGTATACTAAAAGTCTAACTGTTAAAGCCCCCGAGTTTTTAAATGAAGATGCTGACGACCATGAGAGCAATAGTCAGATAGTGAAAAATGACTCAGTTCATCTCACAGACAGGGAGGAATTTGGTCACATCCAAGTGTTGGCTTCATCCAATACTTCGTTGGAAAATAGTGAGAAGATAAACCCAGATTCTAATGATAAAAACTCTGAAAATACTTCCCAGGAAGCTGAAGAACATGACCAATTTTGCAGTGCAGAAGGAGATCAAGATGAGGCAACTTTGAAAACTACTGAACATAGTCCAAAAGCAGATGTTGTTGACAACTTTGAAGAAGACAAAAATGGAAAAATCAATGGTAAGAAAAGTGATGGTTTGTCGTCCAATACAAGTGATATTTCAAATGGGTTGCTCGACAATCTGACCCCCTGCGGTTACAATAGTATCAATGAGGAAGAACCACTCTCAGGGACTGAACTTACTGTTGCATCAGAGGTCTCAAGGAAAACCCATGAGAACATCATAGAGAATGTTCTTGGATTTTCACTTGCTTCCTCCATTGTAGATTTTGAAAACCCAATCTTGGATGTGAAATTCATTTCTCAGAGAACTCCTGCTACAGAGAGTTTCCTTGAAGATTTTCTGGTTGAAACACAAGAGGCCAAGGAAAGCAATGGTGATTTTCCTGTACTGAAAAGCAATGGTGATCTCTCGGTTGAGGAGCAGTCTAATTTGATTTCAATAGAAGATGGGGAACTGGTGAATCCAACTAGCGATAGCCATTTTGCTGTGGACAAAGACTTGTGTACTTCGATTGCTGCTGAACCTGTGAACATCGAAGGTGATAATCTGCCAGTGCTGGAGGATCATAAGCGAAAACGTGATCAAATGTCTTCAAGTCTCATATGAAGTGGTTTCTAGTCCCTGTTTCAGTTCATGAGTCTAGAATGTTTAGGCATTTGTATATAGCTATTTTCATGAATATCGTCTTGTTTCTTTCTCTAAATTTTCAACAATCTTTAGCTTTTCTGCTTAGAGTCAATAGAAGTTACTTCGAACAAACATGTTGCAGCTGTTCCTTGTTTAGGGCGTGGTTGGATTCATGATAACTGTAAATAGTCTCATTTCGTGGTCGTAGTTGCAGGATAATTATTGGGAGTTGATATTTTTCATACATGCATTAATAGATAATTGAATAATGAAAATATCTTTCCTTTATTTTTTTGTGCGTTTGGCGGTTGTTTTAGTAATTATTATCATTTTTATTTAATTAATAGGTGTAATGCTATTGCCATTATCAAAACTTGGCAATTTTTTTTAAACCAGAGCATATATATATATATATATATATATATTATTTTTTTTTAACGTAAAAATCACATAATTAAATATTTTTCAACCAATAATATATTTTTTTTGGGAACAAAAATATTTTCTTTTTCTTTTACACACAATAATGATGATGAGAAATATATTAAAATAACATTATAAAAGAAAAGATCACACAAATTTATTTAACGTGGTTCAGTCCCTCATGCTTACGTCTATAAGGATGTTTACTATTTATTTCATAATGTGTTACATATATATTGAAAATCCTCTTGAAAATTACACGGATGTTCATCACTCACAAGTTTTTTGAGGAAACTTGGAAACTTTCCTTCATATGATCTCCTCTCTCATTTAAGGCGGTGACCACCTCTATAGGTCATGTGGTTTTTCTTATCTCAAGAGTCTCTATTTGTTGACCTTACATCATTATTTTAAAAAATGAAACAAATATCTAAAATAAATACAATATATTTCAATTCTAAACAATATTATAAAAGAATCAATATCTTTTAAAATCTAAATAATATCTTAGAGTTTAAATTTAAAAAATTTGAATTGTTTTTCCAACAATTTCAATGTAAAGTTTTATTTTAATCCTTACACATACCAGTGATTTATGCATAAATTTCAAGGAGTTGTTCTAAACTACTTATTTGTACACCCTAAATCTTTGTCTATATAACAAAATATCTCATTTTCAATCTTATATTATTAAAGAGTATTGCGTAATTTCAGAAAAGAAATAATAACTAGTTAGAAAAATGACATTTCACAATTGAAAGTTAATATTTAATTATTAGTTTTAAGATGATATGTGGATTATGTTATTAATTTGCTATGATTTATTTTTAAAATTTTTTTAATTAATTTTCTAGCAGAATTTTAAAAAATATTTATTATTTTCTAAATAATGTATATTAAACAAAGTGTATGGAAAAGTTTCTTTAGAAAAATCGGTTTTGGAAATAAATTTCAATATTTTAAGGAATGAATTTTTAATATAAATTTCAGAGCATTTGGAGAGATTAATTTTTAATTTCCCGCTACCCAGTTAAAAAAAATTGTCTAAGAAACGAAAACTCGACATAATAATCGGGCGTAAGCAAGCAGAGTGAAAAGAGAGGTTTGAAATTGACAGGTACAGTTGAAGTGAAGAAAGAGAGAAAGAAGGATATTGATTCATTCATTGTTTGCGAAAGAAAAGGATAGGGTTTGGTGAAGTAGAGGATGGAAGCGGCGGTGGTGGACGTCGGCTCTAAGCTCCTCAAAGCGGGTTTTGCAATTCCCGACCAGACTCCCGCCATGGTTTCATTCTTCTCTCTCTATGATCACCGTTGTTGCATTTAATTTCATATTACAAACCCAAATGGCACAAGTTTTCATTCTCAACTCAACTATGCTTTCTACTCTGCCATGACCATCACGTTCTTGTCTTACTCTTCTTGACCAGCTGTTATTAGTGACTGCACTAGATTATAGAGATATTTAGTTTTTGGGTGAACATTGTACATCCTAACTAGAAGTTAAGGACTAATCCACCAAAGTATTGAAATCCATTTAAAGGATTTAGAGCCTTTTTGTAGATAAGTTTAGGAATATTTTTGAGAGCTTTTGTACTAAAAATACTCTTTATTTTCATTACAGAAGTTCTTAAAAGCACTTATATCCAAACAGATTTTTACTCTCTTAACAAATATTTTTCTATATACACGGACCTAACTCCTGACTATATACTCAAGGAACAAGGTTATTTATCTGGCAATTATGCCATACTTTGTTGATCTAGACTCTAGACCAAAGAGAGATGACCTCGATGTTGGAGATGGTCTATCTCCTTTAACGCACAATTGTGTGCAATACTGACTAATTCTAACTCACTCAGCTCTTGTCAACTATAACCTTTGACTTTATAACCACACAATCATCATGCCAATTTTACTGCCTAATTATCTCAGAATCCCTAATTGGGCCTCCTTTCATATGATTCAGATAATTCCCACTCAGATGAAACAAATGCTTGATGATGGATCAGTCACTGATAACTCACCGGCTGACAATGTCACCGTCGATCCAGTTGTGCGAGGATTTATTAGAGATTGGGATGCCATTGAGGATTTGTTGCACCATGTTTTATATTCGGGCCTTGGATGGGAAATTGGCAATGAAGGACAAATACTATTTACAGATCCACTTTGTACCCCAAAGGTTTCTGAAACTTGTCTGTTTTCTCTTTTCTTATACACATTTATTCCTAGATAATTTTGCATACCAATTTTATATGTACAAAACATGTATTATTTGGAAGATTTTTTTTTCCTTTTTATCTTTCTGAACTACTCATGAAACCTTTTGTTAAATGGAATTGCCAGTATTAAGTTAGTGTTCTTGTTTTGATGTGTATTGTATATAGGCATATAGCTTTTCTTAATTGTTGTATGCATTATTGTTTTTCACTTTTACAGGCCAACAAAGAGCAGTTGGTGCAACTAATGTTTGAAACATTCAACATATCAGGGTTTTATGCCTCAGAACAAGCAGTGTTATCGCTGTATGCTGTGGGACGTATCTCAGGATGCAGTGTTGATATTGGACATGGAAAAATAGGTATCAATGCCTGAAGCAATAACAACTTTATTTGAATTATGTAAATAAGTTCTATATCGAATAGATGGTTTCTTTTATCTGCTTGCTCTGTGGGTCAGACTGTCTTTTGTTGATGTGGGAGGGTGTTATCTCCAGCACATAATCGTGTAGGTTTTCATGCACTGTGGGATCTGTTGGTAACAGGACATCTGATGTTTTGCCTTCATTATTTTGCAACGGAGTAAATAAATAATAATTGTATTAAATTTCTTTATTCTGGCTCAATAATAAAATGAAATAACTTATAGTTAGTCCACCTGCAATTGAAAAGATTCAAAGTGATGAAACAATACTTTTCTCCATTTCTTGCCATTTTATATTCCTTATGCCTTGCCTATTCTAGAGACCATATATTTTTCTTCAATATTCTTTATGTCTTGTTATCTGCATAGCTGAGTGGAAAGAATCATGTAATTTGGATCCTATGTCAGATTAGATTCCTTTCTAGGATTAATTGTTTCATGGTTCCACCTAGCCAGTATTTCCTTAACATCTTGTTTTTCTCATGGAATCAAATTTAAAGATGTGAAAAGTTAAATTTTGCAGTTTTCTCTTCTGCAGATAAGTGTGAGGAGTTAATATATTTCAACTTTCACACGAGATCATGAATAACTCTAGATTATAAGTGTAGTTGGTAAATACAATGAGGAAAATATTACTCTAAAATTATTGAAAAAGAATATTAAATTCTTCCTATCATTAATATGTTTCAATTGCATTTTTTACACTTTCTATTTTTTAAACTAAACAATACAAACATAAGATTAGGGGCAAAGATCTCTGATATATTATTTTTTTCAACCTTGGTTTGAGATGGCCATTATAACAGTGTTCTAGTAAATAATTGCATGCACAATTGGAGTAAATAAATTGCTGTCTGAGTGTTTCTCTTCAAATATGAAACATGGTCTCAGGCTTACTGGTTGTTATGATGTGCATCATGATCTTTTTGGTTTTATAACTAGATATTGCACCGGTAATTGAGGGAGCTGTTCATCACATTGCTTCAAGAAGATTTGAGTTTGGAGGTACTGATCTAACTAATTTCCTGGCTCAAGAACTTGGCAAGTCAAATCCACATGTAAATATCAGCCTGTCTGATGTGGAGAAAATAAAAGAGCAGTACTCGTGCTGTGCTGAAGATGAAGTAGCTTATCAGAAGATCCAATATTCTTGTCCTGTGGAGAAGCACACCCTTCCTGATGGACAGGTCTGCTTTCTGAATATCCTTGATAATTCTACTTTTGAATAGTGATATTGATCGGTAGAGGGTGAATGAAAATGAAAGGAAAGGTGGGAATGAAGAATCAGTTAGGAGAGAACAGGGCTTTCTTTGGATTATTATGATTGATTGATTTAAGCAAAACTTATGAGCAGAAGTTTGGAGGTGGCTGATGTTTGTTACTTTGGAGTATGTTCTGTTAGTCTGTTTCCAACTTTACGTGATTTAGCAATTAAAATCTGATGTTTTTGGCTTATCATGAAGATTTCTTTTATTGTTTATATATTTTAATTAGCTTTTTGAGGAAACCCTTCGTAAGTTCTTAGCAAGCCCAATCTGTTAAAAGTTGTATCAGTAATTTTCATATTCCACTAGGAGGCGCAGTGTAACAGTATGCCTTCCAAAGGGCATTCAAGTTGGCTCTCTATTTAACATGCCAGCTGCTATTGTTAGACCAGGCTGACAAAGATTTGTCTTTCAAAATTCTGGACCAGCCTGAAGGTTATTTTGCTTCCAAGCCAAACAGGCTGGTTTGATGGGATAAAAACTATCAAAACCATCAACCTTTGTTCTGTTCCCCCCTAGTGTCAACTATGTGTTTTTATATTCTAAGTTCCATAAATGGGTCTTCAATAATTTATGACTTCATCTGAAAGGTGAATTATCTTATAGGTCATAACAATTGGGAGAGAAAGATACACTGTTGGGGAAGCTTTATTCCAGCCATGTCTATTGGGTTTAGAGGCTCATGGCATTGTTGATCAGCTTGTGCGTGCTATTTCAACTGTGTCATCTGATAACCAACGGCAGCTGCTGGAAAATACTGTAGTTTGCGGTGGCACTTCTTCCATGATTGGTAAATTTTATCTTCATTAGTTCTAGTGAATTTAGGATAAGCTTGATGTAAAGTTCTAATTTGTTATACTTTTTCTTGTCTTTTCCCATCGAAAGACAATGTGCTGATCTTTAGTTTGTGAATCCATATTTATTAAATAGTATATTTTCTACTTTGACAGTAAGGAACCTTTTAGGATATAGAATAAAGGGAATTAGAATAGTTATTAGTTAGAAAGATATCATGGGCTAGGCCCATCACATCTATAAATAGGAGGTTACTTGGTAGAGGGGAGGATTGAGATTTGTTCACATTTGTTTAATAAAATCTTTCTTTTCTTTCTCTTTCCTAATTCTTGGTTCCTAACAACTGGTCCAACCTGCCGGATCTTCAAGGGAGAGCCAGTGTTACTAGAGATGGAGGAAGCATATATTTGGGCCAAGGGGAAGCTGCCAGTCTTTGTGGGTACAAACCCATTGGGGTGGATTGCTAAGGCTGAGAAATTCTTTGAAGTGCAAGAAATTCATTCTTTCCATAAGTTGCAATATGCTTTCATGAGCATGGAAAGAGTAGCAATGCGGTGGTTCTACTTTTGGAGCCAAAAGAACCTAGATTCTGATTGGGAGTCATTCTCCACATCATTGATCAAAAGATTCTTGAAGCAAGAAAAGAAAAGGGACAAAGAAAGTTTGAAGATCAAGAATTATGGTGGCGAAAAATCTGAGATTAAGAAGAGACTCAATGAGGTTTCAAAGATCAAGAAACTCATTAATGAGATCACAACAAAACTTGGGGAAAAAGATAAGCTTCAGGAGGATCTTGATCACCTATTGCAAAAACAGGACTTGACAGAAGACATTGGCACCAGCAACCCAGTTCTGGACAGATTCAAGAAAAATGCAGAAAATACCAAAGGCAGTGAGTCAGATTGCAGAGATGACCTGGTGCATTCTTGGGAAAAACAAGTGGAGTTACCCACCTTTGATGGAAGCATAGAACAGAGAATTAACATGAAGGGTAGCGGTCTAAGGTGTAACAGTAACCTGTTGCAATTCTTGAAGTTAGAAAACAGAAATAAAGAAGTTTTAATCATCAAGAACAACACTATATGTGGTCGGGAAGACCACTTTCTAGGTGAGCCTTCATCATTAAACATCGTTGCATCTATGGATGACAACAGGACAATGGAGCCTAGGCAAAAGGAAAGTACGAAGGCAACAATTGTGATTCAAGTTATATGAAGTCCACCCTCATCTCCACTACCACCGAAGCCGTCAGACATGGGTTTGTATGCAGTGGCCAAAGGGTTCGTTGCTGATCCATCATGGGTAGACAACAAAGAGACACATTCTGTTAGAGCAAGTGATTTGGCTCTAGAGGATGAGAAAGAAGAAGGGGTAGATTTGGAATTCTACAAAGTGGATCCAATTGCCCAAACCTATGAAAAAGTAGTTTCTTAGGGGTGTTGTTTCACTTTAGTCCCAACTATAGTGTGTTTTGATGTCATTTTTTTATTTATTTTGGTTTTCACATTCCAACCTTGAGGACAAGGTTGATTTTCAAGGGGGTGGTATTGTTAGGATATAGAATAAAGGGAATTAGAATAGTTATTAGTTAGAAAGATATCATGGGCTAGGCCCATCACATCTATAAATAGGAGGTTACTTGGTAGAGGGGAGGATTGAGATTTGTTCACATTTGTAAATTGAGCATTAGCTCTTTGTGAAAGGAGAAATCCTTTGTGAAGGGGAAACCCTTGGAGGAGATATTTCTCTCCTATTTTTTGTTCTTTTCAACATATTCAATAAAATCTTTCTTTTCTTTCTCTTTCCTAATTCTTGGTTCCTAACAGAACCCTATTTTTCTTTTGGGTTAGAGTAGAATACAAACTAATGGCTGATATTTGACCAATAAATTTATAAATTCATACTATGTAGTTAGAAACCTGGATAGTAGCTAAGAAAGTTTGAAATTTAGTTACAGAAACGAGGAATTAGGCTCATGAATTACAGAAGACAGAAATAAAAATCACTGAAACTGAAAGCAAAGGCGACCTAGTGCGCAAGGCTCCCATTAATCAGGGTTTGGAAAGGATAGATAAATGTAGTATTACGCTGGCAAATGTAGAGGTTTTTTCTAGGATTTGGACATGTAAACTCCTGTTCACAAGGTTGCTCTTACTACCGTTGCATCAAGGGTCGCCCTCAAATCACATGCCATGTGGGCTGGTGTTTAATTTTCAGCCCCCTCTTCATCTCATTCCTCACATTCCTCAAGTCCTGTACTGTCCAGCAAAGCTGCACAGGGATTCCTAACTTTTTAAAAATAATATTTATGGATCCAAATCCTAATTTGAACTTATCTGGTGGAATTTACTGTATGTCACAATAAATAGTAAATAACAATACACAGCTCTAACTCTGTATGCCAATGCTGTTACTATGAGTAACTTCTGACAGGCTAGTGCTGCTTCTCGTTGCAGGTTTTGAAGAGAGATTTCAGAAGGAATCTAGCTTAAGTTCATCTGCTGTTCAACCTACCCTCGTTAAGGTAATTTGGTTATCTTGTCAAGTAACTTCAAATTATAACAATTTGAGATGAAAACTTGACGAGAGGGAATAAAAGGGTTTTTGCCTCTTTTATATGAATAACATTAAAATCTGCAAAGCTACTATCATTATTCTTGTTTTAATTTATGTTTCCACTGGTGAATTATCTCTGGCTTACTGCAGCCTCCAGAATACATGCCAGAAAACTTAACCATGTATTCTGCATGGGTGGGTGGTGCCATACTTGCCAAAGTGGTTTTCCCTCAAAATCAGCATATAACTAAGGGAGACTATGATGAAACCGGACCTTCCATTGTTCACCGGAAATGCTTCTGACAGTGTTCGTCTGCATGACTCCTCTGCGTCTACTAGTACTGTTACATGCTGTAATCCTTGTATGATTTTAAAAGCTTCAGTGTTCTCCATTGATGCAATCCTCTGCACGAGTTCCTGGGTAGTAGTAGAAGATTTCCGTAAATACTTGTTTATCAGACATGTTTATATTCGAGCACTAGGAGCTTGCATTTCTTGTAATGAGGATATCCCTGTAAAATATTCATCTAGGCCTGTTGTAACCTTGTAGCTACACCACTTCTAGCACACCCCTTTGTTCCTTTTATATGATAGTTTGTAATCTATGCTTTAGTTTATGGATTAGTAAAATATCTCAGTAATAATGTTTTGTTAATAGTTTGAAAGGAAAATTATACGCAAGACTCTTCAAATCAACTTTCCCTTCGGAAATCCAGTACTATACAGCTGTTATTACTTTTACACGACAATGGTTTCAATGAAAAAGTGGTGTGAAATGAGAGCCAGATTTATCTGACATGGATGATGGAACCTTGAAATTGCTGTACCTTTGAAGTTGCATAGAAGCGTCATGAAGAGCGTAGGTCTAAATTAAACGCTTTTATTCCGTAGTTAGCAGTGACCTTTTATAATTGATATCAGTTATTCCCTTGTTTCTCTAGTCTCCTAGAAATGAAATGAACGTGTGTATTAAACAGCGAAGTTGGGTTACATTGACATGATCTAGCACATAGATCATTTTCCTTCAGTGCAGCAGCACTGTGTCATCCTGGTCATGCATCACCTTAACGCAATAAATCCCCCCGAGCGTGTGGTTTTCATGTTAAATTTATGTTAGATGAGCAAGACGATGATGCTATGCATGTTATACCTGTGTTATAAATTGGATCTGTACCTAAACATACATGCAGCCACGTCGTGAGCATTACCTTCTGGTACTCATTATTGATTGCCCCTCCACTTCAAATTTTATTCACAATCATGAACGAATGATTTCTGCGGAAGAATTGATGATAATATTTTATGTAGATTAAATTATATTGATTTCTAATATTATATGATTCACGATTCTGATATACTTTTTGAATAATGCAATTTATTCTTCCAACTAAATTTGCGATTTAGAAAATAATAAAAATAATTGCAAGGAGAATTGAACCCATGACACTCCCCCTCTTTTTCACCACGGGAAGCATATCAAGTCATTTAGTCTGTTTAACAGTTTAAGTAATGATATAAATTTATTTTTAAATATTTTTATTATAAGTGTATTTTTAACATTATTCATGAGTTAATTATGTTTTTAGTTTAGTCAAACATCTTAGTTTAATGATTATAAGGCTTAAGACACAGGAGGTCCACTTAGTATTCTTAGGTTCGATTTTCATTTTTAATTTTCCACAATTAACCCTAAATCTTTAAATTTTATTTAATACTCTATTTCTATTATTTTAATTTTAAAATTTATTAAATAATTATAGCGAAATATTCATTGAAAACTGTCAACTAAAAGCGCGTTTCACTTATTTATTTATACATATTTCAACATGTAAAACTCCTCAATTAGTCCATAACAATATTATACATTTACATAAGCTCATTTCATTCATTTAAAACACAAATTAAAATAAAATCATCGCAAACTTGCATTTATAATATTAAAATAAATAATATAATTTTAATGATGTGCTAAAAAAAAAAGAAAATAGGATAAAAAAGAAGATGAAAGACAAAAGTAATCGTATGTTTATGTTTCGTAAATGAAAATATATTAACTAATAAATTATATAATTTATTTATTAATTTTTTTTGTTACATAAATTTTTTATTTAATATAATATTTTCATACTAGATTTAACATTAAATAAGTATTTAAAAATACATTTATTTCTGTTATACAATATAATGTTTATATTAAAACAAACTAAATGACTTGGGGTGTGTTTGGAATTTCTTAAGCGGAAAATTTCACTATCCAAAATAGCAAATGTATAAGAAAGGAATAGGGTGGATTGACATTTGATTCAACATGATGAAATTCTAAACCCGCGCTTAGTAATTTTGATAGTAGTAGAGAAGAGGAAGATTGTGAGTTTAAGTTCTTTTTTTTTTTTTAATTATTTATATTATTTTTTAAATCATAAATTTTGTTAAGAAACTAAAATTATTTAATTAAAACAAATCAAATATTATACTGAATTAAAAATATAATTTAATCTAAATATTATTAAACTATAATGATCAATAAATGAATATTTAAGTATTAGGTCATAAATGTGAATTTTACAAAATTAAAGAACTAAAATAAAAAAAAATAAAAAATTAGAAGACTAAAATTATAAATTAAATATCATAGGATAAACATACTATTTGTCTATTAAAGTCTAGGGTTATAGTATTCTACTTCTGCCAAGGAAAAAATGATTCTAAATTCACCCAACTCCCTTTAATGGTGAATCTGTTATTATCTTTGGTGCCCTTTGTTGAATAGGAAATGTTACCCAACTATTTGCATTGCGTAGTTGAAAGGCACTAAAAACAAAGATGTCAATTGCACAGTGGGAATGGGGTCCGGCCCCCAACCAGTCGAGTCAAATCCCAATTCACACATCACACTCTTAACAAACAACTTCTTCATATAAATAAAACAAAGAGCACAAGTGGACGGGTCCGTGACCCTTCCCCATAAAAATAGTCTTAATTAACAACAACATTATCTTCCTATTTTCTCCCCACCTTAGTAATGGTACATATTTTAATGACAGAGTCAATGGGCCTTTCAGGGAAACATATTCAAACTAAATTTAGTATTATTCAATTGATTTGAACATGCACGTTTCATGCTTAATAATGAGGAATCTTGAGATTTCCGCTAGAGAGTAAATGAGACTTTTTTCTCTTTGTTACTTGCTTTATATGTTCTTTATGCATAAGGATGATGCAGAACTAAGATCTTAGGGTCTCCCTTGTTTCAGCTGACTCTAATAATAATTGGTCCGTTGCCCAACTTTGTCTTGGTGCAACCTTTTGATGGTTGGGAACATATTCCTGAAAGAAAAAAAAAAGGTAGTTCACTACTTTTGAGTAATATCATACAAATACAACTACAATTTCTGATTTGTTGTCCAACAATTCATAAAGCAGTTGGAACAAAATTATTTTTCTTAGATTGGAAGATAATAAGCATTTTTTGTGTAATATATCATACCTCCATTTTCCTTATGAGTTCTGCTGCTGTGTCTGCTATGACCACAATATGCCTTGCAGAGATGTCTATAAAACCCTCTTCCACTCCCTTGTCAAATAAGGTCAGCAAGCAGTTGAAATACCCATCTACATTCAGCAAACCTACCTGCATATTCACAGTTAGAATCACAATTATTAGTAACAAATTAAAGGAGAAAAAGAAAATTCCACATCCAAAATTCAATTTTGAAGAAGCCTTTCTAAATATTTCTTGCTTTCCAAGCATCAAGTTTTAATGATATTTGACAATCGGATTGAGGACTTACAAGTCTCTCATTCTATGGCCCAATATATACTACTTTCAATCCTTTTTAAAAGAAATGACACTTAAATAATCTATGACTTGTTTCTTATAAAAAAAGACCAAAGATAGTAGTTTCTAGATCGACACACTCAATAAATAGCTCTCTAGTTATGCATAGTATAATTTACCGAAGTTTCTTGAGTTATATTAGGCTTTATGACTCATTAATGAGTGTGTTCTTTGGGGCGAATGAGGATAATCTTACTGGTTTATCATGTATTCCTAGTTGGGACCAGGCTACCACCTCCATCAACTCTTCCATGGTTCCATAGCCTCCTGAACAGTTTACAACTTTGATTGAATTTCTACGCATGTGAAGTTACTATGATTAAGAATGTTCAAACATGGAAAAGAACTTTGAAATTTCATGTCTATAGTATACCAGGAAGGGCTATGAACGCATCAGCATGTTTAGCCATCACTGATTTCCTTTCATGCATATCTGCAACTGTTTTCACTTCTCCAAAAGTTTCCCCAGATATCTAATTGCATGCTTTGATCAGTTTAAGCCTTTCATGACGAAAAATTAAAGAAGCGCATGATCATAGTAATCAAGGGTGAAAATAATTGTACCTCACGAGGCAGCAGAGCTTGAGGAATCACGCTAACAAGGGAAAAAAAGTAAACAATGAAGATCATGAATTAAAGTAAGAATAATATAATCTAATGTTAGAATAGTGGATTAAGCCTAACTCAACCCTACAAAACCGGCTTGTATGGTGAGGGTTGCTTTCCACTTATATACTATTTAATTGCCTAATCTCTAGTCGATGTGGGACTTGGGTTTTTCCCAATATCTACTAAGAAAATTAAATAAATTAAAGTACCCAAGAACATGGCAACCTCCCTTTAGCACAGTTTGAGAGATCAAACCCATTAGTCCTAATCTTCCTCCTCCATAAACCAAATCAATCTTCCTTTCAACCTATCAAAATAATAATAAACAAACACGTGCAAGAGTTATACAAAGAGAAGAACAATACTTTATACGAGGGTCTAGGGGCATAACCAAATTTATGAATTGCCATATGATAGTAGAAAAAGAATTACCAGCAATTTTCCGAGCTCAAGAGCTGCATCACTAAATGAAGACTTATACCCAACTCTACTACCACAGAAGACACATATTCTTTGGAACCTTCCTTTCTGATTATTTTCTGATGACACCTTTGCTTCTCCTTCCATCCTTCCAATATAATGGTTCACTTCCATTGAAAGTACAAGTGGTAATCCAGAAAGAGAGAGGCGATAGAAAAAATAAAAATGGTTGTTCTTTAGCTTTAGGGCAATAGAAGGAGACACCCTTTTTAAGAAACTACACAATTGACAAATTTATCTCAAACACACCCTTCTGTCTCCTTGAAAAGAACTTGGCTGGACAAAGACAAGATAAGACCCCTCTCCATCTTCTATTATTCTTGTCAACTGTATAATAACGTTGATGAACAATATTCTTGGATACTCCATTATTTTAAAGATAAAACTTCGATATAGTATGTATGATATATTGATATTATTCTTTAATCATAGTTATAATTTTATCTTAGTAATACATATTGACATTTAATTAGAACTTTTATTATGTATATTTCTAAACTGAAACTGAAGAACAACATCAATAATATTTATGATATTGTATATAAGTTTTATTTTATTTTAAATACATTATCAACCCTCTTAATTTCTTTCAATCTCTCTTTTTATCACATCATATCACTTATCATTCTTATAATTTCTTTTCTATGATCTTGTAAGTGTTGAATAACATTAGTTAAGGTTGTCTAAGAATATTTTTTTCTTTAATAAACTGCGTTGACCAATGACCAAAACAATTGTCCACAGTAAACACTATACTGTGCAATGAATGTGTTTGTTCAATTAAATCATGCTATGGTGAATTTCAGAAGCAACTGTTACCTCAATACATTCAAATCAAAGTCCCTTTCATTTTTCATTTTTTTACTGTATGGATAGTGGCAGTTCAGCCAGTTCTATATAGTGATAACTTTCTACCTTGTTAATTATTATTATTATTATTATTTTTATTTATGTTTGAAATCAAGCTATTTTCAATAAGAATATATCACTCGATCGTAACTGCTTGATCCGTGATTTAGCTTTGTCCATTTTTGCAAACGTCAATGGAGTTCCTTACCTCGTACGGACAAAGACAAATTCCTTAGGACATGGATAAAAAGTTATGCAAATTGACCATATTACTTTTCCAATTTTGGTGTTCCCCCCACAGGCTGTTCGTAGATTAATGTGTCTTCACTACATCCACACACATATAAATGCATGACTTTTTTTAGTCTATTAACTCAATTTTTATTTTAAACATACATGTATAGTTGGATAATAGGAGTACAAATTTATAGTTCTTACCATCTATATATCCAATAAAATATATATAAAAAAATTAATGTCTTTTGTATCAATCAACAACAAATATAGTATACCTACTTTAAATAATTAATTCAACACGTAGACCAAGCCCATATAGTATACCTATACTTTAAATAGAACTTAGGTGTAGCCTAACTGGGATGCTTTGTATTTGTAGACCTCTATGCTGGGTTCAGAAATCAGTGTTTGGTAGTGTTGTTCTCCAATTATAATTCAAGTTAATTTTAAACAGTCAAGCATGGTGCTGGTTTTCGTGGCTCGTGGTTTTGTTACTTTATAACCAAAGGAGAATAAAAAAAAATATTAGATGGGAGACAAGTGTCTCCAAACAAAATGCACAATAAAACACCAGTCTCCTAAGCTCTTGTACATTCATATATACTTTATGAAGGAACAAGGGCAATGGAAGTTGGGAGAGGAAAAACAAAACTAGTGGTTTTGATATTTTTAGTAGTTTATGGAGCAATGCAATTCAAAAGGTAGACCAGCTTCCAGTTTCAACTTTCAACCGTCATCTACTATTCAATTCACGGGGTGCAAAGTATCTTGAGAAGCTTATTGGGTGATGGATTTGATAAGTAGCTGTTTTATGTGTTTATCCAGTGCCACCTAAAATCATGTGATGAGTGTAAAGTGTTTCAGAATAGAAGCAAGCAATTTGCAACTATGTGACAGAGATACAGAGACCAGTGACTTTTTGTGTTAATGTGAAACATGAGCGGTAGAATCATCAACTGGGTGCCAGTATCTGTTGTAAAACCAAACAGAATCAGCCTCCACAGCAACTCCATCTTGATTTCGGTGCCAGCCGAAGTGAGCATGAGTTCGGTTCTTTATCTCAAAAATGGCATGTCCAAAGCTGGCCTCTCAGAATGCTGAGTACTCTGGCTGTGGTTCTGTCATGCTGCAGCTCAAATGTTGTTTATGTCAGACAGACTTAGTGGTAAAAAAGTAAGAAATGTGAAAAGACTCATCATGTTACATATATAGAACTAGACAAAACTTAGATACAGTAGTACTATAGGTACTGTTCTTCAATCAGAACTGAAGATTTACATTAAATGTAAATATAAATTAGTGAGGTGAAAGTTCAGTTTTGATTAGAGAACAACACCAACAGTATTTATAATATTGTACCTAAGTTTTATATTATAGAGCTTACTTGGTTGCTAAGCCGTCAAGATTTCCTCCATCGCCAATGGTTATATATACAGGAGCTGATTGATCTTTTATAGGACTGCAAAGACCATTTACAACATTGTATGCAACATTGGAAATACGCTCCTGATACATAGTAACACATCAATCAGATACAAATTCACAGAAGATTATTGAAGTTCATTATTTGTACAATATTTTTGTACTATATTTCCCACTAAATTTTTTAGGGACAGAAACTGACGTTTACTTACATATTTATCTTTTCAAATTTGAATGCAAGCCTAATGATGTAGAAACATCAAATGCGGAATTGAAGTGTTGGTAGCTCTTACAGATCGTTCATAGGCATGAACATGACCAGCAAGCACTACATCAACCTTGTACTTCACAAACAATATATATGAGGAGGGATCCTTTTACTCCAAGAGTAAGTCTACCTAGACTTACTCCGTTCAATAACTCATGTTCTACATCAAATTTTGACGATCCAACTGTTAAATTTAAAGTTCTTAATGTATAGATCAAATCTAAATTTTTTTAGAAAATTTGAAAATCATTTAATACTTCATTTTGTTAATTCGAATCAATGTATAAAATGAGGGATCCTTTTACTACAAGAGTAAGTCTACCTAGACTTACTCCGTTCAATAACTCATGTTCTACATCAAATTTCAACGATCCAACCGTTCAATTTAAAGTTCTTAATGTATAGATTAAATTTGCAAATTTTTAGAAAATTTGAAAATCATTTGATACTTCATTTCATTAATTCGAATCAATGTATAAAATGATTTTATGATTATCTGTCAATTTGAATTAATGAAATGAAGTATCAAATAATTTTTAAATTTTTTAAAAAATTACAGATTTGTTCTATGCATTAAGAACTTTAAATTAAACGGTTAGATCGTTAAAATTTGATGTAGAACATGAGTTATTGAATAGAGTAAGTCTAGGTAGACTTATTCCTAGAGTAAAAAGATCCTTCCTCATATATATATATATATATATATATATACACACACACAACCATTAACACCAACCAAATCCAAGGTCTAGAACCAACATATTAATCAGTATAACCTGACAATCACGTACTC